GCTTGTTACCTTAGTCTAACAGGTATGTGAGTAGATAGACGTGCGAAAACTTTGTTTTGTTAAATCCTTCTGTTTTGGTGACAAGGGAGGTAATAATTTCCAGCTTATTTCCCTTGACTAACAGAATTTCTTCTTTTTTTTTTTTTTTACGTTGAACCACGAACAAGGACGGCTTGTTCTTCGGCACGAGTGAATTAGGTTTACTGGTGTTTTATTTTACGCCATTAGCATAAAGAGTAAAACAGGAGACAATAAAGGGAATTAACTCTCATCCCCTTGTACTATAGCCTATCGGTACAGTGTGTGTATTTTGCTATCTAATCGTTTATTCTTTTGTTTCATACCCCCTCTAACCCCTTCCCCACACTCCTATCTGAATATAAAGTGTGGTGACTCTAAAATAGGAAGGGGTGGTACTGTTGTGTAATCAATACATGGTGCATTGTGGGTAGAATAAAAGGGCTGGGGAAAACTGTAATTGATGCAGTAATAGTAGTAGGATTTAATTCAGGAGGGTTGGGGGAAGGAGGGTTAGGTGGGAGGGGGTGGTTAATTCACTTGGTGGCATCTCCAATTCAAATAGAGGTGGGTGAATTTGGGTTTTTGTTTTCTTTGTGGATAACTTAAACACCGTGACCTACATAGTGTGGTAGTTGACTAAGGCTTTTCTAGAGGTAGAAATTCAGAGGTAGCTATTCAAATGTAATACTTAAAAGGCAGTATCTCAGATGTGGTATTTCAGAGGTAGCATTTTAGAGGCAGTATCTCAGATGTGGTATTTCAGAGGTAGCATTTTAGAGGCAGTATCTCAGATGTGGTATTTCAGAGGTAGCATTTTAGAGGCTAGAGCGCACGACTGTCAACCCGAAAATCTCGAGTTTGAATCCCAGACTCGAGTCCGTAGAGTCTGCCCAGCTCCGTTGGTTGTTGAAATCAAAGGCGGCTGAGCTTAGTTCTGACCACACTGTCCCTTCATAACACGATGTCATTAAAACAGATGAACTCTACTTTACCTGCCTCTTTTGCCACGAGGTCCGAACTTTACTTGCTTACATGGGACGTAGCGTATTTGGAGAGTGCTAATATTATACAACAGAGATAATAGTTTTAAGGTAGCAGGTTGGTGAAATCACGTCAGAGGTAGCACTTCCTGTTGAACATGGGGGTTAAGGATACAAACCTGGACAGGTGAGACAACCTCACGCTGTCTGCCAGTGATTGATTTGTATTGATTTTAAAAATCGACCAGTGGGCAATTAAAACTCCCAATAAATGTTCGCGTCACATTGTTTAGCGTTCGAACCCACAAAAAGGTGCCCACGTATATTTCCTTAAGGGTGACAGACGATGTGTCATGACCTGACATGACATGCCCTGACACATGACAGCACGTGACATGACAGCACGACACCCCTGCTCGTCAGTCAGGCCGGTGGTGACGTCACTCACAGCTGAAAAGCTTAACCGATTTACCGGGCCGCTCTCCGCGCTATTTTTGATTAAGGCGATTTGGTTTGATAATTGATCACGTGGTACATCTTCAAAGGTCAGAGGTCTCGATGAATTTAACTTTGTAGTAATTCAACGTGTTTTTTTTTCCGCCTTTCGTAACCTTGACATTTGAGCGTTAATGGACCGAGGTAAATAATTAGAGCAGGCGATAGAAATGTGTTGATTACCTTGTGTATGGAAGGCATGTTGGTAAATGCATGTCTCTACGTCAATGACGTTTTTTTTCTACAACCTGCACGCTAGTATTGAAAAAGTTGATAAAGTTTACCGTGAGAGGGAAAAACGTGTGTACAACGTCACTGGTGTATGAGTTCCCGATACCATGTACATTAAACTAATTAAAGCAATTATGGTTTGTTTGTTTTTAATTTAGGGTAAATTTAAAAGCTTGCTTTGTGTTCATAATAAGAATGTAAAGGTTAATAACCTTAAAAGTAAAAAGTAGGGAAGTGACCTTTCAAAAGTAGATGCTCCATAGAGCAGGTGAAGTAGAGTTGATCTGTTTTCACGGCCTAGGCCTACGTAAGGGTAGTGTGGTCAACATAATGTCCAGATGTTTTAACCTACGGTCATACCTTCAGCTACATAGTCTAGCTTTTTTTTTATCATACACCAAAAAATAAACTCTAGGTTAGTCGAGCGCTTGTTGATTTAATAGCATGACTAGATCGAAAATTTTCCACAAAAATGTTGTCATATAAAGTCTAAATCATGGGGCACCGCTACTGTAATGTTTGATTTGAACTCCAATAAACCACCAAAGATCGCCCAGGTAGTCAAAGTGTAAATACTTTTTTTTTAGGTTACTTTGGTTTACTAGAATAATATGTGTATTAATGATAAGAAGAAATTATAATTTCATACTGACTACTTCAGTTAACAATAGCTAAATATTACATTGTTCAAAATCTTCGCAACACAAAATGTTATCTAACGCGGTGATGGCAGTCTTTATAATGATACTATTGAAAGTATCTTGACTATATGTTTTCTTCACAATCGCAGTACCAATCGCGGATCCTACTATTTAGTCTAAGTTTTATCCAGTTATAAGTGTGTTTATTTTAGCATTTCAATTTGGTATTAAAAAAATATGGAGATCTAAATCACATTTAAGCAATCATAGAGCGTCTGTATTTTCATTAGAGAATCATTTAGACTGGTTACCTAATTCCTCTATTAAAAAGGTTTGGTTGGCTACCGTATTTGTTTATCAAGCACTAAGGCGGGCTACCGTATTTTATTATAAAAACGTGTGAGCGGACAACATTAATTCATATTAAAAATTTACTCGATCAATATTAATAAATCATGAAAAACATGCAAACAGGTCAAATTATCTCGCCATTAAAAAAAATCCCGCCCTCCGCCATAATATCAAACACTGACACACTCGCTGTCTCATACACACACACACTCTCGATCCCTCACACACACACACACACACTCTCGCTCCCTCACACACACACACACACTCTCGCTCCCTCACACACACACACACACTCTCGCTCCCTCACACACACACACACACACTCTCGCTCCCTCACACACACACACACACACTCTCTCGCTCCCTCACACACACACACACTCTCTCTCGCTCCCTCACACACACACTCTCTCGCTCCCTCACACACACACACACACTCTCGCTCCCTCATACACACTGACACACTCGCTCCCTCACACACACACACACTCTCGCTCCCTCACACACACACTCTCTCTGGCTCTCTCATACACACACTCTCTCTCTCGCTCCCTCATACACACACACACACTCACACACACACACACACTTGATTGAAGCCTGGGTAATTTCCCCCCCCCCCCCCCCCAGACTGACAAGATGTTTGCTGACATGTTTCCAGCCTGCTAAGAGTTGAGACCCACGGAGCGTCCCCCCCCCCCACACCCCACTACCCCCCACCCCCTCCCCACAGGTCTACATAACGCGCATCCCTGGCGGAACAAGTACCCCCTGGTTTATTAAATCAGACTCACCACGACACGAGGCCCGGGCGAGGGGGGAGCGTCAGAAATTTGCATACCATCGTTTTAGTGGGCGCAAACGTTATTTAATAAAGTGCGTCGTAATGCACGCTCAAGGAGGGACAATTTGCATACATTCAGGCGCGACTGCAGTTACTTAGAGGGGAGGGGGGATCGGAAGCGGAAACAGATTTTTTATAAGTTACGGTGGGGGGAGGGGGGGAGGAGTAATTTGTGACAATGTTTTGAGAAGAACAAGAAAAAAAAACTAGGTATGAAAAGTAAACGTTGGAAGATAAAATTGTTTGTATTAAATTTAATAGCAGCTATGATGCTAGTAGTAAAAAATTAAATATAATTTTTTTTTAAGTAGACGTAAATGAAGGTTTTTGAGAGGAGCTTGTTCAACATAGATTAAGCTATTTTAACTAAGCAGATAGTGAAACAATATTTCTACATTTCAAATCTTCAGTTAGATAATAGTATGAGTTAAATCTAGGGGTTAAAAATACAATGGTCACGTGATGTAATGACATTACAATGTCAACCTTATGTGGATGGGATGTTAACAGAATGACATTAAGTACCCATGTAATGACATAGCTATGCCATCAATTACTGATGCGATGACATAACTATGACATCAAGTATCGATGCGATGACATAACTATGACATCAAGTACCGATGTAATGACATAACTATGACATCAAGTACTGACGATGCGATGACATAACTATGACATCCAGTACTGATGTAATGACATAACTATGAGACCAAATCCATATGGCATCCCAATAGTTGATGAAAACAATAAATTAGAAGGACTCTAGAAATTAATCTGGCCACTTTACAGTTCACATCTACCTACTGTAGACTGTCGATTGTGAATCCCGGCTAGTAAAAAATGCACTTCATTCTAATTATAATCAACTTCTTAATTAAGAACATGTGTTAAAATAATCAAAGTAAAAATACTCTACGAGATATTTTTCCTTCATATTTTAATTTAAATTACGAATTTTTAGAACTCGTTTATTTATCTATTATTTAATTAATAAACAAACACATTTTAATGTGATGGTTATAACGGCTGCTTGATAAGGTTTACTAAACAAAGTTTTGGTTAAAGTTTAAGGTTAGATCTAGGATAACGAGAATATTTTTTTTTAAAATAAATCATTGTCTAAATATACAGTGGTATCTGATGAATGTTTTACAACAACCTTATCAATACCAACTTTGGCCTGTGTTATGAAAGTAACATTAAAATAGCAAGGCTGAGTTCAGAGATTGTAAACCACTGGCTTATGTCAGTATTGGTAATGCGGCTGGCGTCAGTGGTTACTAAACAACCAATCAGAACGGTTTTGTTTTCGAGCTTGTTTGCTGTGCAGGCTAAGACTTTAAAATTGAATTTTTCTTTAATTAACAAAGTAAGAATTAAAAAAAAAACACACGATCCTTTTCAAATACAAAACAAGGAAAGATAACTCACATCAGTAATCACAAGAGTGGTCTTCAAGTTGATTGGTATTCTTCAAAGTTTCTTTCCTTTTTTCTGAAATCATAAATAAAATTGCAAGATAATTAAAACTATGCTTCATGTTATTTACGCGCATTATAACAAATGTTAGCAATAATTCAATGATGTTTAGTTAAAAATAATATTAAAGATAAGACCTTTAAAAATGAAAATTAAATGTGTTTAATGATTGTATATACGCTATGATGTAACACGGCGTATTTTAAAAATTGATTTGATGTGAAAGAATTGTTTTAAAGAGTTTTAGCTAGTTTAGTCACGTAATGAAACCGATAGGGCTCATCAGTTAATGGATGGGTTATACAGTCCAGTCTTAGTAGGTGATCTAAGGAGATTGGCGACACGCTTTGAAGACTGCCAACGTGCTAATTTGTTCAACCAAATTTTAAAGTAGAACTATCGTGTCTAGGGGAATGAAATATTAACGTTATTATTATTATTTTGAAATAATGTGATTTTTTTTTAAGGCTACAGCTTTTAAAACATTAAGAGACATTTAAACACGCAAATGTTAACACTAACACCTTAACCTATGTAGGTGCACAAGATTCAGGCTGGTCCAAATAATGAAGTGCTTTTTAACGTTCATTTGATAATTTTAAAGGAACAAAACAAATTATGTTTTTTTTTAAATTATCCCCATCTGAACCACACACAAAAAAATGTTTCGGCAGTAAACTATATAGAACTAGATTCTACTCTCGTCACATTGTTGTCTATTCTCTTAGCAGTCACGTAATTTATTTATAGATCTAAGAGATCCTGAGCTTCAAATATATTTTTAAAAGATCAAAAACGGTACACAATGGAAATGTTCATAGAGTACAAGAGTATCCTTAATCCTGAATTATATGCGTTTATAAAATGTCACTTCTAGCTTTTCGTAAGCTAAAAATACAAACATAAATATTTTAAATTGCGATCGTTTGTAAAACCAAAAGACTACACAATAATTTAAAAAAATGTTTAACTGTTTATTATAAATAAACTACACAATACTTTGAGAACTTCGACCATTTATAACCTAAAAACTAGACGCAATTATTTGGAAATTTTCAACAGTTCGATCACAAAAAATAATAATAAATTAATTTTTTAAAAATAAAAAAATTAAATTTAAATATTTTGAATATTTAATATTTAAATATTCAACACGCATATAACTGAAAAATTTCCACCGTTAATAACCAAAACACTACACACGCTTACAATTACAAAAAAAAATAAAAGAACAAGTAACTGACCATGCATTGAGGTGTAAGTAATTAATTAGAAAATGACAAGAATATCCTGGGAGAGAAATAATTTTTTTAACCTCATCAGTCGCAGGTGTGACGTATCAAGTGAGGTGAGTACCAGAGTTCCCGCCACCACTCAACCACCTACACGTCATTGATTCCATGCACGTACAAACAGCAGCACTCATCGTCTTTGTCACCCCCACCCTCAGCCCCCCACCCCCCACCCGTACCTGAGGAATACCTCAGCAGTCAGAGGTTGTGTGTGTGTGTGTGTATGTGTGTGTGTGTGTGTGTGTGTGTGTGCGTGTGTGTGTGTGTGGGTGTGTGTGTGTGGGTTACAGTTGCCGCACGCCGCCCTACTATTGAAACATTCACCGGCGGGTTTTGACAGTCGTACCCAGGGGCGGGTCACCGCTGCGGTCTATTCATAGAAGTGTCGTCACACTCACACGTCATGCTAGTGGAGGTAACTCTGGTTTCAAAAATTAATAAGAGTGATCGGAACTGTTTTATTTTTTTAATTTATTGTGTGTGTAGAAGACGTGCGTGTATGTGTGTGCGTGTGTGTATGTGTGTGTGTCGAAGTTTGGTTATTAAAATGACTGTTGATTTATTGTTTTATAATCAGCTGCCCGACGCCATCTTGCGGACCGCTGGAGCGTGTTGTTACGTCAGTAATTACCGAGAAGGGAGAGAATCGTGGAGGGGAAAAAAATCAAGTCGGACGAGATAGTTATTGTCAAGTGTGAAAACCCTTCCAGATGGGGACCAGAGAGTGCCTGCGTCAACACTACGGGGAGATAATAGCCTCGGTACTACGGCCAAGGGAGAGCAATCACGTGCCTTTTGTTCGGGTGTTAAAAAGTCGAAATATCCGTCCTTTGTTGGTGGAGGGTGGGGGGATGGTCCCAGGCGGCCGGGCACGTGACCAATGCAGCGAGACCCCCGGGTGTCGGACGCCGGATCAAAGTCGTGTTCTGGAAGGTTCGTGACGTCAGGACCGGCTAAGACTTTAGGGTTAGCACGGGAGACGAAAAGATAAACACAAATGGTAGCGGCACGGGAGGCTGGGGTTACATGGGGTAGGAGAGATGAAGCAAGGATGAGGGTAAATACAGAAGGAGAAAGGTCTAGATGGTAGGGACGTAATAGTGACAGTGGGCGGAATAGGGCTGGGTGGGTTGACAGTATTTGGGCTGGGAGAGTATATGGGGGGGGGGGGGGGAGACACAAGAAGGGGATATATATGGCTGGATAATTGGATGAAATTGTGTAAACACGCAAAGATTTATTGTGTTTGCTTGTTTTGTTTATTTTATCGTTTTCTTTTTGGTTTGTTAATTATTCGACTAATATAGGCGCTTTAACAGTAAACTACTGCATAGTTTTACGGGAGAAAAATATTTTATTTATTTTTTGTTTTTGTTTTTTTGTTATTTTTTTTTTTGATGTTTTGTTTTTGTAATTTAGCATTACATTTTTAAGTTTCTTTATTATTGAATTTCTTCGCTCATTGAGAAATTAACCGTGTTCTTAATAAAAATTGTATTTTAAAATGTTTAAGTGTTGCTACGTATTTTTTCAGGTCGACTAAGCAACAAAAAAGAAACCTAAGAATTCCTAAAATAGCGCCCGACGACTTCTGCGACTTTTGACGCGCGTATATTTAAAATACCAGGTGACGGATTATGCTTACTTTGTACTGCTCCGGTCTATTATTAGTAACACGACAGTTGTTATTAGTATGTCTCGGCCTATGCGCCCCAGCGATCCGTACTCGTGGGAACATTTTGAAACTTTTCATTTCGTGACAATAAAAAGAAAAAATACTGAAATAAAGAAACGTTTGGGGGGGGGGGGGGTGTGATGGGGGGGGGAGTGAGGTTTGGGCCATGACTATACTATTTCAACACAATTGCTTTTTTTTCTCCCCCTACCCCCCCCCCCCCCCCCCCCCCCCCCACCCCCCTGACATACATTTTAGTTCTGTAATAGATCTCGCGTGACTCAACACGGCCCGATATTTTTAGGTCAATCAGCAGCAACCGCTCCTGCATCCTACTTGTTTACGGTCGGGAGGGTGGTGGTGAGGTGGGGGGGGGGGGCGAGAAAACGATACCCGGGGCCGCTGGCGAAAGTCGTGTCTGTTCACGGAGTGTCTTGCTTTATGTAAAACTTAAATGTCATTCCCCGTAGCGTGTGTGACCGCTCGTTCAAGCTCGCTCGTCAGGCCTCGAGTTTTTGGTCCTGTCCCACTCACATAACGGGGGTTGTGATATCAACATAGCACAAGTTTTTGGTCCTGTCCACTCACATAACGGGGGTTGTGATATCAACATAGCACAAGTTTTTGGTCCTGTCCACTCACATAACGGGGGTTGTGATATCAACATAGCACAAGTTTTTGGTCATGTCCCACTCACATAACGGGGGTTGTGATATCAACATAGCACAAGTTTTTGGTCATGTCCACTCACATAACGGGGGTTGTGATATCAACATAGCACAAGTTTTTGGTCATGTCCCACTCACATAACTCGGGTTGTGATATCAACATAGCACAAGTTTTTGGTCATGTCCCACTCACATAACGGGGGTTGTGATATCAACATAGCACAAGTTTTTGGTCATGTCCCACTCACATAACGGGGGTTGTGATATCAACATAGCACAAGTTTTTGGTCCTGTCCCACTCACATAACGGGGGTTGTGATATCAACATAGCACAAGTTTTTGGTCCTGTCCCACTCACATAACGGGGGTTGTGATATCAACATAGCACAAGTTTTTGGTCATGTCCCACTCACATAACGGGGGATGTGATATCAACATAGCACAAGTTTTTGGTCATGTCCCACCCACATAACGGGGGATGTGATATCAACATAGCATAAGTTTTTGGTCATGTCCCACCCACATAACGGGGGATGTGATATCAACATAGCACAAGTTTTTGGTCATGTCCCACCCACATAACGGGGGTTGTGATATCAACATAGCACAAGTTTTTGGTCATGTCCCACTCACATAACGGGGGCTGTGATATCAACATAGCACAAGTTTTTGGTCATGTCCCACCCACATAACGGGGGATGTGATATCAACATAGCACAAGTTTTTGGTCATGTCCCACCCACATAACGGGGGTTGTGATATCAACATAGCACAAGTTTTTGGTCATGTCCCACTCACATAACGGGGGCTGTGATATCAACATAGCACACGTTTTTGGTCATGTCCCACTCACATAACGGGGGATGTGATATCAACATAGCACACGTTTTTGGTCATGTCCCACTCACATAACGGGGGTTGTGAAATCAACATAGCACAAGTTTTTGGTCATGTCCCACTCACATAACGGGGGATGTGATATCAACATAGCACAAGTTTTTGGTCATGTCCCACTCACATAACGGGGGATGTGATATCAACATAGCACAAGTTTTTGGTCATGTCCCACTCACATAACGGGGGATGTGATATCAACATAGCACAAGTTTTTGGTCATGTCCCACTCACATAACGGGGGTTGTGATATCAACATAGCACAAGTTTTTGGTCCTGTCCACTCACATAACGGGGGCTGTGATATCAACATAGCACAAGTTTTTGGTCATGTCCCACTCACATAACGGGGGCTGTGATATCAACATAGCACAAGTTTTTGGTCATGTCCCACTCACATAACGGGGGTTGTGATATCAACATAGCACAAGTTTTTGGTCCTGTCCACTCACATAACGGGGGATGTGATATCAACATAGCACAAGT